CTCACTGCTCACACACTGCTACAGCCTGGTGTTGGCAACACCTGCACCCCTCACTGCTGGGACAGCTGCTACAGCCTGGTGTGAGCAACACCTGCACCCCTCACTGCTCACACACTGCTACAGCCTGGTGTTGGCAACACCTGCACCTCTCACTGCTCACACACTGCTACAGCCTGGTGTGGGCAACACCTGCAGCTCTCACTGCTCACACACTGCTACAGCCTGGTGTGAACAACACCTGCACCCCTCACTGCTGGTGCTCACAAGCACCCACAGAGCTCTGCACACAGGGAAAGGCTCTGCATCCCACAGAGCCATGGAGGCTGGGTCCAGAGAGGAGACAAGGCAAAGTGCAGGTTTGTACAGCTAAGGACACTTTAACAGACACTTCTCTGGGCTCTACAGCTTCTAAAATCCTCGCTTTCCTTCAGCAACGTGAAGAGAGGCAACACATATATTGCGGAAATCAAAAACAGCCACAGAAATGCTCTCTTAGGAGAGGCACAATCATTCCTAGATTAGATGTTAGTGAGAAACTCTTCCCTGTGAGAGTGGGCAGGCCCTGGCACAGGTGCCCAGAGCAGTTGTGGCTGCCCCTGGATCCCTGGCAGTGCCCAAGGCCAGGCTGGACACTGGGCTTGGAGCAGCCTGGGACAGTGGGAGGTGTCCCTGCCATGGCAGGGCTTTGAGGTCCCTTCCCACCCAAAGCATTGCCTGTTTCTATGGCAGCTCTGCCATGCAAGCCCAGCACGGGGCACTGTCACTTACTGTTCTGGATGCCGAACAGGAATATCCCCGAGGTCTGCTGGGACGAGGCAGGGGAGTTCTGCAGCTGGTTGATGGCCCCTCCCGCCGTGTTGTGGAACAGAGGAGCCTGCTGCTGGGGAGGAGAAGCAGTTCCTGGCATTCCTGCCATGCTGTTCTGGGAGGAGTACATGGGGGACTGCTGCAGCTCCGGCTGGCTCATGCTGTTCTGCAGGGCAGACATGGAAGCTGACGAGATGAACAGGGTGACTTGTTGCTCTTGAGAACTTGGGGACCCTTGGACCAGCTGAATCTGGGGCGAGTTATGGAAGATGGCTGGCTGCTGTGCTTCAGCCTGGCTGGAGCCAGGGTTCTGGAGAGAAGACACTGTGGTCTGACTCTGGAATTGCATGGGCTGCTGCTCCTGATTCATCGAGGCCATGTTGGACTGTGGATGAAAAATGGACTGGCCTTGTTGCTCCTGATTGGTGACTGGGTTTTGGTTTGGATTGAAAATCATGTTCTGCTTTTGGGGGGCCATTGTACTCATTGCATTTTGATTGCTGAACATCATGTTCTGCTGCTGCTGCTGCTGCTGCTCCTGAGAGGGAGGGCTGCTCTGGATGGCAACAATCGAATGCTGAGGCTGGAAGATGGCTCCTTGTTGGTTCTGAGGGATGGAGCTGGACTGGATGGAGCCCAACGACACCTGGGACTGAAACAAACCCTGCTGAGCTGGCTGAGCCTGGGGCTGCTCCTGGGGAAGCATGGAGCTCTGCATATGAGAGATCTGCGTCTGCTGCTGGAAAGAAGTCTGCTGTTCAGTGTTTGTTGCTGTCTGAAGAGGAGAAATGGGGTTTGGGCTTGTGAAGAACGACATCTGCTCCTCCTGAGTGGCAGGGTTGCTCATGGAACTCTGGGAAAGGAACATGTTGGCAGACTGCTGGTCTTGAGGCACCGAGGAGCTCTGCAAGACACCCATGGCATTCTGTGAGTGGAACATGGGGGGCTGCAGTTGGTCAGAGGAATTAGTGTTGGTCTGGTTGTGGACAATGGAATTTGAGCTATGAAAAAGGGATCCTTGCGTTTCCTGGGATATATTCTGAGTGTCACCAATAGGGTTCTGAGAGTGGAAAAGCTGAGCTTGCGAGTGTGGGGATTGCTGGATGAAGCTTCCCGACTGAATGGACATCATTTCTCCACCTTGCTGGAACAGAGCCCCGCCCTGCTGCTGAGTCCCACTGGCCTGGACACTCATCATGGTCTTGGTGGACGAGAAGAGATTAACCTGGGACTGACTTTCCCCGCCGTGCTGCATCTGAACCATGGTCTGGAACACAGAGCTCTGCATCTGTTTGCCCTGGCCCGAGGCCTCCTCTCCCTCCGCAGAGCTGCTGGGCTGGAACATGGCAGCCCCGCTGCTGGACACGGGCTGCTGCGCGGGGGCGGCCGCCTCGCCGCCAGCCACGCCCGGGGACGAGGAGAACAGCTCGCACTGCATCTGCATGTCCTCGCTGCCGGACAGGCCGCCCATCATGTGCGACGCCTGCTGGTACACCGGGGACTGCTGCAGGGCCCCGTTCCCCGCCGTGCTGGACGAGAACAGCTCCGACTGCATCTGCGTGGCCGCCTGGCACATGTTCTGCTGCATGCCCATCACCATGGCCGCCGAGGTCTCCATGGCCTGCTGCTGCTGCTGCTGCTGCTGCTGGCTGGACAGGGCACCCTCGGGCTGCGGGTGGACGCTCTCAGCTCGGCCAGGCAAAAGGTTCTCTGCTCTGGAATGGACAGCTGTGTCCGAGGAGGAAAACATCCCGGGGTTCACGCTGCTCTGTATCTGGCTGACCTGCTGAAAGATGTCTGCGTTCAGCTGATCCTGGACATCCTCGCTGCTGTCTGAGCCCGAAAACAGAACGGAAGATAACTGCTGCTGAGCTTCCAGAACCTGCTGCACCAAGTCGACGTTCCTGCTGCTGCCCGTGGCGGTGTTGGTGGGGAAGTTCCCAGCCTGGAGCTGCTGGATGGTGTTCTGGAGCTGACTGACGCCGCTGGCCGACGAGAAGATGCTCGAGGAGATCTGCTGCTGCAGGGCCTGGGCCGGCTCCGCGAGCGTGGGCTGCGGCTGCTGCTGCGAGGCCTCAGCCAGCTGGGACAGAGCCACCACGGTGCCGTCCGACTGCAGCACCTCGCGGGGCTGCGCCTCCCTGCCCGGGAACTGCGCCGCCTGCTGCAGCAGGGCATCGCTGCTCTGCAGAATGCTGCCCGGCTGAGAAATGTCCTGCGGCTGGATGGTGCTCAGGGGCTCCGCGTTGAACACCTTGGGCTGCAGCTGCTGCTGGTTTTCGCCTTCAGAAGGTAAATGGGAAGCAGAAGTTGATATGCCGGACATGCTGTTTTCCAATGTTTGCTGAGTTGGTCCAACCACATTCGAAGCCTGAAAAGAGCAAGAGATTGGGTAATTTACAAACTTACTGGGGTGATGGAAATACAATTTCCCAAAATCCCCCACGTCCAGGGAAGATCAGAGAGAGATGTGAGATGTCAAACCCAGACACACCCAAACCAGCAAACAAATGATCAGCAGTGCAAACGGTACTTCAAGGATGGAATCATGGCACAGCTTAATGAAAGCAATGCTAAGAATTGATTAAAAGAATATTCTTACAGTAATTTACCAGCTCTGTGTCATGGGGTAAAAATCCCATCACAGGGTCACTAACCCATCAATCTGTCTGGGGCAGGAACCAGGTGAGTTATTAAAGCAAACTGTGTGTTTCACTCATGCTCCGTGATTGTGTTTTGCCCAGACTGATCCTGCACATGGATGGCACTTTCCCTGTCTATTCCTCTTCTCCAGTGCTAAAGCACAGACCAAGGAGCACCTCAGGGTCTGAAAGCTGCTGTGCTCAGCTCCCCCAGACTCACCTTGGAACACAGGGGGAGAGCATTTTTGTGCACTTACTTCCATTGGAGCCACATCTTCGTTCTTGATCATACTGCTTGGCATGAGTGGAGTTATCAAGGCACTAGGAAGAATGTTCACCTTCTCCAGGTTACAGCCCGTGGCCTTCACTGCTGCAGCCACAAACAAAACCACAACAAGAGGGGCAATGGTAAAACCATTCCAGAACTCCCTTTAAGTAAATTACAGAATTACTCTTCAACGTAAAGCAGCAGATCTCCACACCCTGAGCAAATTTAAACCTTTCAGTAAGGTGGCAGTAAAATTTCTGCACATGTGTACAGAGTGAAGAAGGACAGAACACACCAAGTGCATACAGCAAACAAAATTCTCTGACCTCTGGTTCAGAGTCAGCCTGGAGCAGAACAGGTACAGGAATGAAGCATCAATGAGGAGCTGACACAGAAACCCCCATGAGAGGGTAAATTCAGATTTACTGCATAAATCAGCTGAGGACATGAAGGAACAGCAACAGCACGTTGTGTTCCAAGGAGCAGCAGCTGTTCTCCTGGAGCAGTTGGGATCTTCCCTCAGTTAAGCTCCACACTAAATCACATGGATGTCAGGCTTACCCTGTGTATCAGTTTATATATTTGCTTAAATCAACACTACACAGTTTCTAATTCTTTGTATTATCTGCAATCCTAGGCTGGTTTTTTATTCTTCACTTGCAAACAGAATAAATAAAGATTAGACTGCAGAGCCTGATGCATGAATTTTTTTAAAAAAAAGTCTTATTTTTTTGCCTTTTTTTTGTTCCATATTAGCTTGTACTAAAATATACTGATAGGAATTTTGTTATAAAGTAAAAGTTTCAGAGTCAGAAAACAAACCTCCCTGTAAGAATAGGGCCAGATTTTATAAGCACAGACTTATCACAGGATGTCTGATTCATTTCACCAAATCGGGGTAGGAATTCATAGTTAAATTATTAAGAACACTGATAAGAATCAATTTAGTACCTTTTATAGCCTCTTCAAAAGAACAATGTTGGGCTGGGCTGGAGATTTCCTTCTTCACATTAACATTCAGAGTCCCAGCTGCCGAGACAAAACACATTGAGAACTTCCTTACGTTAAATCAGCAAACAAGCCAAAAAAACACAAAGCACACCAAAACAATTCCTTATAGCTTAAAGAAATTCAGTTCTTTGAAACCCACACAAACCTTTGCACTGTCTATTGTGATACAGATAAATAAATAAACTGAAATACATGAAGTGGGCAAATTGCAGCTTTCCTCAGGATAAAGCCTGCTGGGATTTCTTGGTTATTTGGTGCATTGTATGGGATATGTTGATTTTTTTTATCCTGCTCAGCTTCATTTTGATCCTTAAACTAGAAATGGATGCTGCTACACAAGAGCTGTCACAAGACAAGCTGGAATTTGAGGTATTTGGCACAGAAATGAGAAAAGCGACGTGTTTGGATTTTATTATGGACAGGGGGTTTGGGAAGATGCACTTTGCTCCCCCAGGGCTGCACACACCTGGCTCTGGAGTGTAGGTGAAGGGCTGCACGTCGTGAGATCTGCCAGCGTTGGTCACCACGTAAATCCCCACTGAGACAGCTGAGGTGATTTGCTGGTCGTGATATGGTGGCACCTTCACAATAAGGTGATTCTGCAAAGCAAAAGGATCACATTTTCTTACTACCGATCTTAATTCTCCTTACTTACACCAAAAGACAGAAATAGGCTGATAAAATGCCTTAAATAAAAGCCCAGGGCACTGGGGGCAATGCACATGTGGGATACTGCCCTTGATGGCACTTCCCTGACACCATTTGCAACCAAACAGTCCATAAAGACACTTATTGTGTCAAAAAGATTAAATATTCCATTAAACATTTCAAAGTGGAACAAAACTCAGCCAGTTATAAAGACTATGCTGTACACACAATCTCCTTCCATGGAAAACTGAATTAGAACTTTTGATTTCATTGCATGTAAGGGCAAAGACCTGCTCAGCAAACCCACTGTGGGACCCAAGCTCTCATTAGACACTGAACAATTTCAGTGGTGTAAAAGCCAAATTATATTCCACCGGACTCAGACCTTACGTGAAAAAAAATATTATTATTCCTAGAAATGCACAAAAAGAGAGAAAGGCTTGATTAATTTTTCTTTGGAAACAGTCAGTGTATTTTTTAAATTAAAAATATAACAATAATAATAGTAGTAGTAACGACAATAGTAGTAATAATAAAAGTAATACATTAAAAGAATACCTGATGAAATAATTCCATGTCAATTTCAGCTTCTGCCTTCCAAGAATTCTCATCTAAATGAAAATTAAAAAGCCTGGGTTAGTGCACATCCTACAGAGCAATTTGTTTCAGTGCCTTTGCTCCTCAGTTTGCTGTCCCTGACTGAGCTTGACCCAGCAGTGAATCCCAGCCCCAGGCTCTGCTCAGCACCCCAAGCCAGCCCTGCTTTCACACTAACCGGAAACATTCTCTTGGAAAATCACTTTTGTTCCCTTTAGGAAGTTCTTGCCAATCAGAAAAACTTCCTCTTCACCCTTCACTGAACAGCTGTGGAGACTTTTCTTTAGGATCTCTGGGACTCCTGCTGGCTGAGCTGCAAGGGAAAAAACAGAGTCTGGAATCAAGGGAACATCAACATCCAAACCAAACCACTTTTACTTACAGGGTAATGAAGGAACAACTAAAACTCCTGAGCTTATTTCTTTATCATGCCTTTCATGACAAACTCTTCAGAACATAACCATTTCTATTATTTCCTCACCAAATGTAATGAGCTCACAGAAATCACAATAATCACTTGTTCTGCTCTGGAAAAGAGCAGGAGGAGTGATTCCCCTGTTACCTGGGGGGCTTTGCACAGATTTTTTATATGCCACAGTTTTCTGCCTGGTGCAAGAACTAACCCAGGGCTTGGAGCAACCTGGTGTCCCCTGGCAGGGGTGCAATGGGATGAGCTTCAAGGTCCCCTCCAAACCCTTGCAGGACTCACATCTCTGGAGTTGGGAATTTTAGCAATTTGAATCAAATAAACAAGCCAAGAGGATGTGATTTTACAGATACACATCCCTGGATGCCCCTGTGCCAGAGGTCCAGATGATGATTTATACCATTCTTATCATAAACTGCCACTGCTGCAAACCATTCCTACTCTTCTTAAACCTTACATCAAATAGGACCACGTCTGCCAAATGAGCTAAATGCAAATGTGCTAAATGAGTAGACAATTTAAACAGAGATACATTTTAAAATAATGTGTTTTGACATGTTCAATATAAAATAATTCTGGTTTCTAACAAAGGTTCCTCAACCACCTTTTCTCCTCACACACCTCCCCAGGGCTCACACCCAGACTCGTGTTTCTGCACTTGCCTGGCCCACTTTGAGTGTTTAATAACAATATTCTCTGGGCTTACTACACAGCAGAACATACATCCTGTACCACTCCAAATTATTTAATGACCTTTCAGAAAGGATTTTTCTACAACTCTGGCTGCAGGTTCCCAGGCAACCGTTACGCAACGACTGAATATGCTCAAGGCACATGAAAAGAGTAACTGGATTTAGGTTTGCTAACAAGTTAACAAAGCCTATTTAAAACACAGCCCTCAAATAAAGAGCCTGCAGCTCCTTAATGCCTTCTCTAAGGTTTCAGGAACACTATAAAACAGTGTGAACAGGCTCTGATGAGTGTAAAAGCAAACCCTGTTGCGAAGGTACATTACATACCTGTAGTACGGTTTATGTAGCAAACTAACCCAGTGTAATGTGTCTGAGGAGATGATTTATATTCAATAAACAACACACTTCATGCCATTTTGATCAGCCAGTAGCCATGTGCCAGCACTATTTGCTTGGCCAAGATGTACTGCAAGTCCCTGTGGCTCTGGCGTGAGTTAAGACAGAAGCAGAGTCCTGGAAGGAGCCTCAGGAATTCCCCTCCCAACCTTCACACCATCATCAGTTTATTCACACACTCCCCAAAGACACAATTCTGACCAGAGGATTTTGTTTCTGTGATCTAAGACTTCCAGCAGTGGAGACTCTGTAGAATTCCTGCGCAATCTCTTAGCAACTTACACAATTGAGAATATTTTCTTAGCAAGTGACCAAACCCCAGCCTGCCAAAAATCAAACCAATTTACTCTTTGCATCAAATACAGCTTTTTTTAGCTCAACAGCCTATTTTAAAATCAGTCTCTAAATGCTTCATCTCAGACTCTCAGCTTCCACTCACAACAGCAAGTTTTGGACTGTTAAAGAAAACATCAGGCGACTTTCACTCCCTCTTCTTCGATGGGTAAAATAATTTTATCTTTAACCAGAAAGTTACAAACAAAAGACATACAGGAATGGTTTTGAGATTTTATAGAAAATGGTTTTATCTTAAATCTGAAAATTACTATCAGATACTCCCTTACTGTGAAATACCACCATGGTCTACTGACTGGAATGGAGCTGTGAAGATGACTGTACTTCTAAAAAAATAACCCGAAAAAAATCCTTTTTATACCATGGAAAAAGCACAATATGAGTGCCCAGGAGCTTCTCTACTCTCTCCATGCACAGACAAAGCTCTCCATCTCACTCATCAAGACAAGAGGTGGAACAAGATGAGCTTTAAGGGCCCCTCCAGCCCAAACCATTCCATGATTCCACAATCCCCTTTTCCCTGTTGGTCAGTGGAACCTCCCCAGCCAAGGCAGCCATCTGTGCTCGTGCTAAACAGAGCAGTTTAATAAAGAGCTATAAAAAGTTTTGTTCCTGCACTGAACCAGAACAGATTCAGCCTCTGGCCCACGCAAGGACCACAGCTGGGAGAGCCAGGCCTGCTGACTTACTGCAAGGCCTGGCTAGCACTGAAAGCTGAGGCACAAATGTGACAATACAGAAGAGACTCAAAGGACTAACCATCATTTCTCAAAGCAACAATGACAAAACCAGTGAAATCTTACGAGGCAAAAATTCATTGAACTGAAGATCAGGAATTGTATCACTATTTTTCAATACTGAACAATAATTTTAACTATTACCCCACCACAAATAAAAATCAATCCACTTGATTTCAGCTACAGCAAATCTGAAATTACCACAGATTAACACGGGGTTGTTTTTTTACTCCCCACGGTATTCTGACAGAATCCCAGCATCATTTAGGTTGGAGACCATGCAGCCCAAGCTGTGCCTGACCCCAGCCCAGAGCACTCAGTGCCACCTCCAGGGCTGGGGACTCCAGACCTGCCTGGGCAGCCCCTGCCAGTGCCTGACACCCGTTCCATGCTGAGATCACACCCTCAGCCCGGTGGTGTGGCACTCACTGCACAGAATTGGGGAGGAGGGCGTCTGCAGGGTCAGCGTGGAGCCGTCCTTGCGCGTGATGTTGACGCGAAAGACGAGCCGGGCGCGGGTGCTCTTCTTCTTGGAGCCCGCAATCCCTATCCTGGCTTCCACATCAGCGTTCCTCAGCTTCAGGATTCCCACACAATCCACCCTAACAACACAAAGCAGAGCACAATCCCACAGTTTAGTAAGTTCAGCAGCTTTACCAGTCTCTCAAGTAGTTTCATAAGCCAAAGTCAAAAGCCTTGAGGTAATTATGGAAACGTTATTAGATTTCTTTTTATTTACATGAAATCTATGACCTTTTTCAAGTTTTCATTCAACCCTGCCTAATTTGGATGATGAATCATGGCAGAAAGGCATATGAAAGCATGAATAAAACAGAAAGTGCAATATAATTCTGGTAAGCATTCAATTTAGAATCACAGCTCTTCATTCTTCCATCCCCAGGGCGAGATCTGTGTTTGCAGGATTATTGCTTCAAAATATTCTGCATTCACTTAAAGAAAGCAGGAGTAGAAGAAAACTTACTGTAGTCATATTATTTATGTTCAGTGGGACTTGGAAGTGACAGATAAGTCCTCCCTTAAGTGTGGTCCTAGGGGAGATGTACAGGGCCAGGTGAGTGATGCAGTGGTGGCTTTCAGACAGGCTCCATGCAAAATGATTTAAAGCAAAAAACAGCCAAAAAAACCAAGTACAGCAGCAGCAAACACAGCCTGATGTGTTAAAAAGAAGAATACTGCAATTTACCCAGGATTTTGGGTTCTGTGTCCCAAAACCACAGGGACCACCTGCTACCTGCTGTGAGTACACTGAATTACCAGCAAGAGCCGAGGAGCAGAGGGAGGAGAGCGCTGAGATGTTCAGACTCCAACTGTAACCCATCCAACAGAGGAAATCAGCTCCCAAACCCCAGCTGGCAAAGGCAAACACTCCTGCAGGAGCTACTCACGCCAGGGTCATGTTGTTGCTCGGGTCCAGCCCCACCTCGATGACGGTGGTGCCCTCGATGTCCACCTCCTTGCAGGGCGTGGTGTTCCTGCCCGTCACCCGGCAGGCCTGGTAGAAGCCGTGTGGCTTCACGCGCCCCGAGTCGTTGCCCACGAACACCTGCAGCACCACGGGCTCGTTGTGGCCTTCCAGCTGCAACACCCAGCGGGGCAGTTAGCACAGGAACCTCTGCTTTAGTTGTTATCATTCACAGCTGGCTTCCAAAGCAGCCTCAGTGCTGCCTGCCTTCAGACACAGTCATCCCAGCTGTGACTCTCGTGTCTCCCACAGCCTCCCGTTCCCAACCCAACTGGGACTATTCCCCCTTCCCGCCAGCATCTACATCCACCAGCCAGCCAAGAAAGAGAACATTTCCTGGGCTGATTCCAGAGGTGAAGAGGTTTTGCTGCTCAATATGTGCATTCCAGGACCCCACCTTCATGCCAGACACATTCTGAAATCCTTGTGAAACCAGATTAGAATTTTCCAATAGTTGCAAAACCCCTGAAGGAGTCAGAACGGGATGAAAGGGAAGCAGAGGGAGAAATGGGTGATTGAATGGTGCAACCATCCAACTGCATAGGCCCAGCTTTCCTTCAGACATCAAAATTAAAATTAAAAATCCTAACTTGACATCTCCTATTTAAAAGGTAACAATGTCAGGATTCACTGAAATGCTTCATAAATAAGAGCAGGTCAGACATTTTAACATCCTCCTGCAACGCCATGTGCAAACCAAATTTATCCCAGAACATTTCAGCAAAAAATACATTCATTTCTGTAACTTCAACAGCCTGGCATGAAATGGTTTGTGGCCTCTTTATGTTTTTTTATTAGTGGGATCCCACTGGTGCCACAGACTAAAAATACTCTGAGGTAAAAGAAATCCTGAAGTAAACTTGGACATTGCATTACAAAGGAAATTCTTCTTTTTAGGAAATAGTTAAGAAAAATACTCCAAGTGAAAAAAACATTAGATTGTTGCCAAATTCACAGGCCAGAGATGGAAATTCCTTGCCAGAGCATTCTAGGAGATAAAATGAGTATTTTATTGTTTCCACTGAGACACATTTGCTGCTCAAGGATTGCTGAGTGACAGTGCTGTCCTTTGTCCCAGGCCTGGAAGCTCAGGCAGCACCTTTAGAAAGAAGCTCCAGGTTCAGTAGTGAGGAGATGCAAACGAGAGCAGAATCCTCTGCAGAATCTCTTGGGGGATTATTCCCTGACACACTAAAAAATGTAATTCTGAAGTTTGTAGCAAGTTTGAATCAAGAAAAAAATAAATAAACCAGCAAATACTGGTGAGATCATTGTGTGCTCATGTCCAAGAGGAGCAAACAGCAAACGTGACTGTCGCAGATGAGCAGAGCCCCAAGATCTCTCGAGGTGGCCCAGCACGGGCATCCACACGGGAACCAAGGGCACAGCCTACAACAAAGGGCTCTACCCTTGATTCAGGCTTGGTTATACAATTTTAATGTTGCACACTGAGTGTTGTAAGCCACCAGGATCAGTTTTATTTAAATGGCCACTGAACCTGCTTCCCTCCTTGGCCTGTGTCAGGGCCACGCGCCGCAGCCGCCCCCAAGCCCCATCTCTGCTGAGCACCAACATCTTTACACTGCTCCTCCCCACCTTGAAACCCCACAAACTAAACAAAAAACTCCCTTGTCTGTAACGTATTTTTTTCCCACTAGCTCAGATTTCCTGAAGATTCACTGACTCATTTGTCTGTGCAGCCCTGGCAGAGTTTTATCTGCAGGGTATGAACTCCTCTGCCTACTGGTAAAGCAAACTGGAACTTCCAGGAATTCAGTAACATGAGACTCTTCCAAAGAGAATTTTCACTGATGGGTGCTAGAGGGTAACTGGGAAAGGAGTTAAAAGGAAATTCAGATGAACAAAGGCCCATTAAGAAAATCCACATAAATGAGCACTAAATCCCCATAGCAACAGGCCGATATGAATGGATTCTTTTCTTATGAAACTTTACTGGAGTTCTGCATTACTCAGGAGGACTGAGTGAAGGGCTGCTGGTGTTCCTAACACTGCTGAACAGGACTTTGAAGATAAGCCTACTCCTGTATTCTCCCAGCAGCAGTCAGCACAAATTTTAGGGCTGTGTCACAAACATCTCCTTGTGGACCTGGTAAGTTAGTTTGGGTTGAGAACTGCTTTGCTGCTTTCTCAAAGTGACATAACTAAGAAAAAATAATAAAATGTCTTTCACCCTCCTTATCTATATGATAACAAACCTATCTGTCTACTCACTCAACCTGCTTGCCACACTCCTCCCAGTGTGCCCAGTGTGCCATTTGCCATGGTGCCAGAGTGGTGACTCTCAAAATCATGTGGGAGGATATTTAACTTCAGTTCTTCTGTTTGCCACCCTAAGCCTTGCTCCTGGTAAGCCTCTCTACCATTTCCATCAGGAAACCTTCCCAAGCCCTCAAGTTCTCCAACTGCTTTCCCCAGGCTACAAGGGAAAGAAACAAGACTTGGAAATTCCCACTCTGTGCATCCATGTGCAGTCCCTGGAGGACAGAAATGTCAAACATCTCCTTCCAACCTCCTTGTGCTTCTCCTCAGAGCAAGAGGCCTCCAGCACCTGAATTTAAGCATCAAAGTCCATAGAGTAAACAGGCTGCAACTCTCAAGTGTGCACATAAATGCTGCCTCATTCCTTGCCCCCATTCTCCAGTTCTAATCCACATCCAGCTCCACCTGTACCACGCTAAACACACTGAGCAGTATGGACTGTAAAACACACCTCAGTGAGAGCTCCATGACTCACTTGAAAGTCACTGCACACAGCAACTCAGATACTGCTGAATTAACAACAAGAGCAAAAAACACCAAGCAATTGAAAAAAAAAAAATTACAACAAAACCCAAACATCCCCTTTACAATTTTTTTTTTTAAATGAAAACTGTTTTTATGCCTTTACTACCACTGGACAATGCTGCCCCACTGTCACCAGCCATCAAACAGCCAGAGCATTTCACTATCTCTGTGATGCTCAGAGCATTTCACTTTCTCTGAATGCTCAGAGCATTTCCTATCTCTACCTATTTGGTAGGTATGGAATGTCTCTGCATTCACCCAGCCCATGGAACTGCAGCCTAACAGGACGTGCACCCCAGATTTTAAATCCCTGCCTTGCCGCGCAGCTTCCCTGCTGCTGTAACTCTGGACTCGTGAGCTGCAGGAAGAGATCCCCTGCAGCCCAGCCTGCCCCTGAGCACTGCAGAGCCCGCCCTGGGCAGGCAGGAGGGCCCTGGCCAGCCTACCTTGACGGTGGGAAAGCCCTGCTGCGTCCGGTCCTTGACGGAGCCCCGGCTGCCCTCGGTCAGGTACCGAGCCCTGTGCTGGGTCTCCGGCTGCACCATGATCTTCAGCTCCTTCCCCTCACTCTTGGTCGGGTACTGACCACACAACATTGGGGTCTTCTTCCCTCCAGCTCCCTTCTGGTTCTCTGGTGCTCTGAGAAGTCAAAACACACCATCGAGAAGATGTGAGAAGCAGCTCCCCGGCAAAAACACTCCAAATCACAGCAAAGCTACAAAGGCAAAGAGTGCGTATTAACTGGTGGAAGATTTGCAGTTGGGAGCAAACTTTGGAATTCTCTTTCTGCCAGAGGAGACCTGCAGGAGGAAGAGGAACGGTGCTTCCCTGCCTCCTCCATCCAGAGCACATGGGAACTGCTTTTCAGAGAGCAAACATAAAGGAAGGGAAAAGCAATTAGCATTAAACGATGTTAACGAACAGAAGGCGGTTCATAACCTGCTTTTTCAGAGTCTATGACACAGCCTGAACAAGCTGCTTTGCTGCTGTGACAAACACACACGTACACACACACTGGATGGATTTAAGGTTAAATGACACTTCTTTCAACAGGAAAATAGCCTCATGCCTGTCTCCACCTCAACCTGTACATCCATGCAAACTCCAGCTCCAACTGCTGTCTAAACAGAGTGACCAGTTCATGCCAAAACCCAATTAGTTCTTGTTAAAGCTCTGGCATAATTGCACCAATGTTAAATCAGTGTATGCACAAGGCCTTTCTTTCCAGGTGGGTTCCATAGGATGTAGTGGCTTGTTCTCAGTTCCATAATTAAAACCAGGATGAAGGAGCCCTCCCAAGTCTAGCAGCACATGAGCCACTTTGTGTTCCCTTTAGAGCACAATGGGAAATAACCCTTGATCCTGCTCACACCAGGATTTGGTAACGAACCTGAAGACCAAGAAACTCCTTTCCCACTAGGAAATGTGAATGTGCCACAGTACATGATGCAGGCAGGGAAAGGGCTCCATGATTCATGCAAATGTCATATTCTTTCTTCCTAGCAAAACATGGTTTCTAACAGCTAATGCCTGGGAAGAAAGCAGTTTTAAATAACAAGTGTGGATTGCTTAAAAAAACAAATCCCGTTTCAACGTGCAAGTCATTGAAGTAATCTATCCAGGATTTTTTTCCTTCTCAAAAAAGGTGAAAACATTTTTTTTCAAAACTGTTCCCTGGGAGCTTTGCCACTGCATGAGGCTCTCCCTGACCTTCTCAGCTATACCTGACAAACACGATGCAGCCCCTTCCTCGAGCTCTGGCTGGGCACAGAGCAGCCCCTCACTCCAGCCCTGCCCAGGAAAGCTCAGGCACTTTGCCCCTCACATCTCACAGCCCTAAAGCCACGGAATCACAGCACAGGGTGGGTTGGGAGAGACCTTTAGAGATCACCCAGTGCCACCCCTGCCATGGCAGGGACACCTCCCACTGTCCCAGGGTGTCCCAATGTCCAGCCTGGCCTTGGGCACTGCCAGGGATCCACAGCTGCTCTGGGCACCTGTGCCAGGGCCTGCCCACCCTTCTTGTAAAAAACTTCCTCCTCTGACCTACACTAAATCAACCCTCTTTTAGTCTAAAACCATCGCTCTCTGCCTAATGCAACACATCCTATTTGTCACACTCCTATTCTCGTTAAGCCTTCCAAAATCTTTCACCACACATAAAAAAGGGTTAAAACAGAGAGAGTTGGTGCTTTGGATGACTTCCATTCCCATTTTCTGTCCATGAAGGTCAAGCACTTCACTGTGGACAGCCCAGCCTCAGCCCTGGTTGCCTCCAATACTTATCCTCAACCAACACCCAGCAGAGGGAGGAACTGGATAAACACAAGCATAAAACACTGCAAAATAATATTAATACCATCGTAAAATAAAACTATCTTCCTGCCAAGCAGTCCTGATTACTCTGCTCAGTGTGGTCACTGGGCAGACTGGGATATAGGTGAATTTTGAAGGGAGATGTTGGAGAGCTGGCCATCAAAACGAAATTCACCTTTACCACTCTCAGTGCCACGTTTCAGCAGTGACATTAACACTGACCTGTCCAGAACTATACCCCTAAATCCCAACTACCTTAACTGTCAGCATATTCATATTTTATCATGATCATATTTATGCAGAGAGATGCTCCTCACAATTATTTTGGTCTTTTCTCTAAAAACTTCATCATTATTTTCAGACAACTAGCCAAACCTGGAGGCAATTTAAACCCTTCACCAGAACTTCTAAGTGGTCTTTGTCCTCAAAATACAGGATGAATCACTTAATACATCCTTTCAATGAATGAATTCATTTTAATTCAGTTAATTCATACAGCAAGTATTCACACTTGTACATTTCATATGCACACATGACAGTTACCAGACAAAATATCATCTAATCTAGCACTTCTATCTCTTAAAAGGAATAAATGTAAGTGGCAAATGCTATGAATCTACTCAAACAGATCTCCTGAGGAGTTTGGCCTGGTCCTGTTCTCAGGGCAGACCTGAAAGTGAAAGTGAGACCACGGAAACCTGAGTCTGCCCTGAATCACCACCAATTCATCCCCTTCTGAAAAGGCTTTCACAAATTCCAAGTTTCCACAGGAATATATTCTTTCTCTTCCTGGCTTTTGACAACAACTGTCTCTTAAGGGGCAAATGCCATTTCCATTCACCACGGAGCACAGGAGTTTTCCTTGCTCTTTTCTTTAAGCCAAAAGTAAATGAACTCCCTTGGCTGAGCTCCACCAGGCTGGGAAGCTTTAAAAACTCCAGTCACTACGGTGACCCAGATTTGTACGGCCAAGTCTCCATATTCCAACAGCAAAATTAAGTTTTCTAAGACCCTGGCCACTTCTTATCCCAGTGGTTTATTTCCAAGGACGGTTCTGTTACTTGGGAGTTTTCCTGCAGTTCAGTTTGGCCTGAGACACATAAGGAAAAATATTCCACCTTCTCCCCCTGTGCACTCACAGAACCCACGGATTTCCCTGGTCAGCCCAGTGGTTTTGGGGGATCTTGTTCTGTTTTCAGACCAGGATCTCACATATATTTTCATGGTTTACAAAACCTCCCTGAGATCACTTACAGTGGCACAGCTCTTGTCTTTCCATCACGCTTTTCCTTCTGGAAGGACCAGCCCGGTCCCTCGGAGCTGGGGGAGGCACCTTCCTCATCCCAAGCTGCCCAGGGCCCACCAGGTACTAATATTTCCCTTCGTGACCATTGATTTTGGCTGGTGAGAACCCCGAGGCCAGAGGCCACCATGCCCAGGAAGCAGCAGCACACTCAGGACATGTTCTCAGAACTGCTTTTCACAGTGAAATTTTAAGTATGGAACTGCACTGACCCTGGGAATACAGACTCCAGGCTCTTTCCCTTTGGGATATGAGAAGTTCATCATCTTTGCCATCAGTCAAATTTTAATATTCACCGTTGCTGTGATGAACGTCAGAACGTACTGCAAGCACAGACATAAAAGTGAAACCAAAATGCACTCCTGCCCCCAAAAAAGCCCAAAATAAAAGAGCCAAATCTATCCATTTGACCCCTTTAAAGGTACTAAAGAAGCAACAAGTTAAAAAAATAAAATAAAAAAAGAAATGCATCAACACACTCTTGCAAACTGATGGAACTGTCCTCTTTGAGCAGCCACTGGAATGCATTTAGTGAACAGTGTGAAGTGGGAGATGAGGGGCCACCACCCAGGCGTGCCCAGGCAGACACACGCACACGACCCAGAAGCACAGAGAGAAACAGCATTAGAGATTTATTTCTGAAAAAATCAAATACAGAAGTGAATTCACATGGAAAAACCAAAAACTGGTTCACCATATTGTCTTAACATTTCGTAAAAAAGTAAAGCAAGTGATAATTTAAATGATGAAAAATCCTAATGAGACATTAACCATTAGCTTCTACTCCCATCCCTATCTCTATTTGACAAATAGAGCAGCAGGTGAAGTGTACAGACTGAAATCCTCACATAAAATCCTGCAAAAAAACATTCAGGGTGCACCAACTCCACTCTGCCTTTCTTTTTAAATACATTTTCATTGCCATTTTATAAATGGAATTGTGTGGCCTTTAGGGAATTTCACTTAAAGAACAGATGAGCTCATCAGCGCTGCATTTAATTGCTGCAGGAGAGTTTAGCTTTATCTTCTAAATAAAGATTAACAAGTCTAATGAGAACTTATGACAGAATCATGGAGCGGTTTGTGTTGAAAGGGACCTTCAAGAGATCCAGTTCCACCTTCTGCCATGGGCAGGGACAATTTGCACTATCCCAGGTTGCTCCAAGCCCTAATGCCCAACCTGGCCTTGGGCACTGCCAGGGATCCAGGGACAGCCACAATTCCTGGGGGCAGGAAGAACTTATCCTGGGCTAGGACATGACAGGGACAGCAGAGAATGGAGGGGTTTATGTGAGAACCTAAGCAGAACATTTGCCGGGGCACGGGGGCACTTTTATTAGTTTGGGTTTACATATGGAGATAGAATGTTTTTTTCTTTTTAAAAAAAAAATTTAAAAAAAAAAAAGCAGATACCAACCCATTTCCTGCTTTTGAGTTGCTTTTGCTGTCCGTGCTGAGCTGAGAAAGGACATAGTGAGGCGCTTTGGCACTGTCGGCATCAAAGATATCCATGTTGGACTCTTCGCAATCTCGGCGTTTGATCCCTGGCCTCTGCTTTGGGTTGCGCTTGCGCGATTTACGTGGCACCTCAGTGTTATCATTGTAGGAACTGGTACTCATGTTACTGAAGTTGGAGGGTGAATCCTCCATCCACATACTGCAGCTCTGCTCTGACTCCAATCCACAGCCCTCATCCTGGCAGGACATCCGGCTGTTGTCCAGCAAGTCCTCGGGAGGTGGCGAGATGTAGAGGACAGTGTGGCGCTTCGGCGTGGCCGCCGGCGGCGGGGCTGCGGTACCGGGAAGCTGCTGCTCACTTACCCCTCGGCTACTTACCCCCACGGCCGCGGAGCAGCTCTCCACTTGCATAGCCTTGCTGTCGGTGACTGAGGTAGAGTAAATGGTAGGGCTGGAAGAGGTGGTAAAGGAGCTGCAAGCACCGCCCATGGAGGAAGAGGAGGGAGCTGAAGAAGCATCTGCGGTGTACAATTCACAAGTAAATACAGGACCCGTGGCGCGGCGTGCGCTGGCTATAGCAGTCCCAGTGAGATCAAGGTGATTTAGGAACCGATTGCTTTCCCCCAAGAAATGTTTGGAATTTGGTTCAGTTTTGGAATGGAAGTGCTTAAAGCAACACAGCCTGGCCAATGCTTTGGAAATGTCCAAACGAGTCTTAGCACCATCCACTGGAATCGAATTTTTCTTTACGACTTAACGTTAATTCGTACAAATGGCTGCGAGTAAACAGAGCTTTCATTGCCTCAGCTGGACTAATTATTGGTGTAGAAGCCATTTCGTCTAAAATAGCCCCAAAGCAAAGTGCTTATAATCCACATTCAATGCCAATTAAACAATTTATCGTTGGAAATTTTTAATTTTTTTTTGTTTTTGAAAAAGATGGGACTGTGCTTAGCCACAAAATATTAAAATAAGTTTCTAACCTATGAAGCAGAGAACTACAGGTCATTTTTAATGCAGACACTCCCTGCTTCAGAGGCAAATCCTGGAATAAAAATATGAGAAAATAAATGAGAAAAAGAGCTGCTGATTATTCCATCATAAATGAGAAATAAAATATAAAATCAACTGAGTTGGTAGGCAAAATGGAACTGGTATCAGTCACTATGAGCGAGCTGTTGATTTCGAAGGTTCAGAACAGGGATGAAATATCTGTGTTGGAGACACGCTGGTCCAAGGACTGGGAATTTCTGTAATTTGACTTCTTCAGTCACTGGGACCAATTTCTCTCAGACTTTATTGGTCCCTTCCACAGAGATGGCTTGGGACAGACCTCTGAAAAATTCACATTAAACAGGAGATGTCCAACACTGTGACTACAACTTCTGCAGAGGTCCCAGAGCTCAATTTGGTTTAGAAACATGAAAATTATTACACCAAACCCCTGAAGACTTCTGGAGAACACCACTGAAGAATTTTAAAAGACAAATCAATGGCATACATAAGTTAAATATCCCAGAGGAAGCAGGCCATTCAAACATTTGTATTTATTTCAATCAGCTGTAGCTCACTGAGGAATAATTGAATTTTATAGTCAGATTTTAGCTTTCTGTGAGGAGACCCTGTTTTCTGTATTTCTGCACTGCCACCCACACCTGACAAACCAGAAGCACTGAAATAACCTAATTTTGGAAACAAATTGTGCATTAAATATATACATAATAATCCAATATGTTTGTTCAGGTACTAACTGCTGTCATACAGGTAAATCTGTTGTAAGAGGAACATGATGTTTTCCTTTTTGCTTCTTGAGATTTTTTTAAAATCCAAAATATTACAACAGTCTCTCAAGTCTAATTAAAAGATTTATAGACTGATGGACTGTTAGTCTATACTGTATAGTCTATACTGGTTTAGTTATTTAAAAGTAACAGAATGAAGCATATTCAGTCATGATACATACATTTAATTAACAGTAAAACTCAACCAACTTGCCTACATTGGGAATTACTGGGAGTATCAATGACTGATAATAAAGACTTTTTCAACCATTACTGCTTCTTACAGCTCTCCTGTGCTAAATGAATGCAAAAGCAAACTTGCACCACTTCAGATTGTCAAATTTACAGGTCATTAGTTTATCAATAAACTACTCTGTCTTCCCTGAGCCTCCCAGTGAACCAGGAGCAGCTGAATGATACCAGTTCCATTTCCCAGCTTGTTCTTTGGCAAATACAGTGGCTGAAATTGGAGAATTCAGTCACTTTGCATTCCAATTTAAAGGCAAATTTCTCCTTTCTATATCATGCATTAAAATTCAATGCTTCTTTCAAAAACATTTATAGGATTGGCAAGAACTATCAAATCTAGGTATTCATTTCAGTGACAATATTTAGAGCTGATTTGCAGCCACTTTGAGTTGAGACAGCCCAGTCGGGGTTTGGGATGTTTGTTTTGGTGAAGAGGACGGGTTTCCATCCACCATCGATACCTCAGAGGAGCAGGAGGGAGCAGTGCCCAGGGAGCCCTGGAGCGCAGGAGCTGCAGGGCTGGGGCTGCAAAGGCACAATGAGCTCGGGGCAGGGACAGGGACTCGGCCATGGAATCTCTGATGGAACACACTTGGAACAGGCAGCAGGGGCTTCGGCTGCAGGATCCTCCTCCAACAGATTAAAGGCACATTTACACAACCACACCAATCCTTGCACACTCCGGGCTCAGCTCTGCGCGGGCCACGGACACCAAGCACTGCGCTCGGCTGGGGCTTCAGTGCATCTCCTGGCCAGGAATGCAAAACCTGCACCTTTCCCTCACTTTCCTAGGGAAAAAAATAAATATATCACTGAACCAAATGCTTTTCAGCGCAAAGCTAAAAGAGCTGGTGATGGTAGTGCTGTTTTAGGGTGCAGCATTGTGAAATGTTATCATTATGGCGATATCATCGTTATTGCTCTCCAAAACGATTTCTACTCCATTCTTTTTCTATAAGTTAAAAGCACTTATATGTATAAATACATGTATGTGGGCTTTTATACTTTTAAAAAGTAAATAAACATTGTCCATTATAAATTGGTTACACTCTCCTCCATTTACCAGAGATGCCCCTGTGCAATGGTAAGATTAGATTTTGGAATAAACCCAAATTCAACAGTAATGGCAAGAAAACCTCTCTTTAGCCTTATATAATAAATCAATGCCATTACTATCCATACGTAAAGTATGATAAATATTACGGCAAATTGAATAAACTGGCTGTATTGGAACAGTCAAATACACAGATTTAAAAACTTCTGGAGGCATAAATTAGAAAAATTAGTAATTGCTTCAGTTACATTTTAAGTTATGAAAATAGTAAGAAACAGTGAAGTCTGTGTTTTCTCAGAGTATGCAGGCCTTGAGCCAACTCATCTTCCTTTGAACTAATAAATAAACTGGGTCAATCAAATAAGAATTCACCACATTACTGCAATGAATAAACAGTGCTTTACATGGCTCCCATTTGGGTCCATCATTTCATTCCAAAGCCAGTGACATTTGCATCTGACACCAACAGAGATTTCTTGGATGAACATGCTGCATTTTGGAAAATAAGTAATTCGGTAATTTGAACTTGTGTTGCTTTACAAGGTGAGAGCACACACACCTTCCCCAGCTTTGAGCACTCCTTTTATTTTACTTTCTTTAGACACAGATTAATGGGCACGGGCACAGGTGGCTCATGGTTTGCAATTTAACAGTGCGTGCAATGACAAATACATAGATGTATTTTTAAGTGAGTAGGTACATTTTGAAATAGAAGACTGAATATATTTCATTTAACACAGTCTCAAAATCAAACTTGCTTTTCAGAGCAATGACACTGAACAGAAGCCAAGAGCTCATCATGGCAAGTGTGCAGCCTCAGGAATAGAAATGAAATGTGCATCAGCATCACAAGGTGGGGTTTTTTCTCATTTTTTAAACAAAAAACAAGAGAAAAGAATATTCCACGTTAGAGCAACTGTGATCACTGTTGAAACTAAACCTCCTGAAGCTCTTCACTGCCATCACTGTAACATCAAAGGGAAATGGAAGAAGTAATTCAGATTTTGTTGCCTGTGCTACAAGTTTTTCTCCCCTAAAAGAGGCAGAATTGTATCAATCAGTCCAGCACAAGGACTGAAAGTAAGGGAGCACACAGAAAAGAGAGTCCCTGTGAGCAAACCAGGGCAGCCTTTTTCTTTTCAGTACCAAAAAACCAAAGAAAATTTATTACCTCCTGCATCAGCAACCAAGGCAATGACATATTTTCTATATCCTATTCTCCTGTGAAGTCAAACAAGGCATTCAGCCTCTAAAAAAAAGGTTTGGAAAGGCAGGAGAGAGAAAAAAAAAATCACTACTTGGCATTAAGGGAGTCTTTTTAGGTAACACCTCTGCGGAGCCAATCCTGAAATCCTTGTTCACTCTTTTCAAATACCCTTAAACACAACAAGGATTACCGAGTCCTCAAACAGAAACAGTGTCCTGATGACTTTGCTTTTTAATTGCAAAAGCAAGTCATTTCCCAAACTGGAAATCTTAAGATTATATAAACAAATAAACTGCAGATATTTTTGGTTTCACAAGTTTTCCAGTCACCTGTGCATGGACGGCCAGGACAAGCAAAAAGCCATTAAAGAACTAATTTCTTTCTTCTGAACTTCCCCTGCATTCCAGGGTATCCTCTACGTTCTGTGCAGAAAACAAGTGTCAAAAATGAAAACTCACCCACAGGGTGAGGATTAACGGGTGTATAAGCTTAATATGCGAAGTATAACTTTGATTAAATGTGTTGATTTATCTAACATGTCATGTCCTTGGTAAGATTTTTTATGTCAATTGAACCCCTGGACACAAAAGAACAATTTCAGGACAGACCCAGAAGGAAACTGCAGAATTTCCACCATCAACCTTTGTGTTGTCAAAGGTTTCAAAGGTAAAACCCAGAACTTACAAAGTGGCTGCAAACCTGCTTTCAACACCTCACATGCCAAACTTGGGGTTCTACTTTTCTTCTTCTTGTATTACTGATGTCATGTCAAAAACTTTTCCAAAAAGTTTAGTTTCAAATCAGTATCAATCCACTATTCAGAAATAAACAAAAAAAAAATTTTAAAAAAATTAAAAAAAAAAAAAGAAAGAAAGAAAAGAGACTTATGAAGAAGTCTGAAAACAAGACCGACCTATACCCTGGGTGAGATTGGATGGGTTAAGTGTCTCTGGCACTATTTGTCTTCACTATTGACAGACACTGTCACACAACCCACCACTCGATGCCTGTCTCTGAATGGCGAAGCTAGAATGCAAGTTAAGTGTATTAATAGAGAAAAAAACTAGCATCCCAGCAAATATCAAAAAGCAATCCAATTCACCAGTTATTAAACACACTCAGATTCAAGATAGGTAGGTTAATTTAATTTACATTAAGCCCAACAGTGTAAATTCCCCTTTACAATCCCATGCTGACCCAAGCAGTGTATTATTATACTTTGGGTAA